AAAAAGTTAAGGAAAAAATTAAAAGATGGCTTTTAATCTAAGTACCCAAGAGGCAGAGAAAGATAGAATGAATTCCAGGACAGTGAGTTCTATACAGAGAAAAACTGCCTCAAATAACCCCCACCCCAGAAAGTAAGTAAATAAGCCAAAGAACAAACAGATAGATAAAGTTCCATTAATTAATTAGTTAATTAAAAAACAACAAAACCTAAAGGAGTATATCCCTTTATAGAAGCAAGCTTGAAAGACATACTTTGGATAAAAAGAACCTATATGCTATCAAGTAACTGCTCTCAATCAGCAACAGGACTGGATAGGTAAGATATTTTGTAAAGTAATTTGGGTGAAGACTGGTAAGGCACACACCTACAGGCATTTCCAGGGAAGATTAGCTATGGCTGTGATAACTGGATCTAGGGTTTAACCGGTGGATGCAGTCCAGTTTGCACAGACTGTTGGGAGGGGCAGGAAACTGCAGAAGGAGGAGCCTAGTTTGAAAAAGTAGGTCACTGGGAGTTGGCCTGACCACTCCCTTCTTTTCTTTACTTCCTGTCCTTCATCCAGTGAATAGCCTGGAAACAAGATTCTGCCACCATGATGTTCTCCTCCCCACCAGCCCAAAGACAAAGGAGCCAGATAGGCTGAGACTTCAGAAACCATGAGCTAAAACAACCACTTTCCCCCTAAGTAGTCCTGTCAGGTATTTTTGTCACATTAACCTGTCTTCTCTTCTCCACCTGAGTAATTTTGTCTTACTAAAGCAAAGGAAGGAAAGATTTTTTCAATCCCTACATACTGTGATTTCAAAAATAGATCCACTCAGACTTTGAGAACCCTTGCACTGTAGGATCCCGAGGTTTCTGGCAGTAAACAAAGCTGAAAGCGCTTCAGGGGTGCACTCTGGAAATGACAGAAGGAATCTGCTTTGGATCATGACTATGTGCACAAGAAAAAAAAAAAAAAAAAAAAAAAACCAACAAAGACTCCGAGTGTGAGATTCCTACTGTGGTAGTTTTATAACAAGGGTGTTTTTATGCTCAGCTGAACTCGCGTGTACGAAGAAAAACAGCTTGGCATCAATTCGTGTATGAATATGCTTAAAGATATTCCTAGCACTCTGGAACACACTCTGATGGGAAGGCCTGAAAGGCCTTAGGAAACAAAGCAAACAGGGGAAAATGGCATGTTTGGGGAGCAGAGATTTCTGTGTTACTTGGAAATATTCCATTAATCCCTTTGGCTTGTGAACATCAGTTTGTGACTCTGACAGAGAAGCAGTGTCACACTAATCCAGGGACATGACCTGCTACTTACAATCAACAGGGCTTGGCCTCTCCCCTCAGTGTGAATTGTTATACTAAGCAGATCTTTGTGGTAGGTGGCCACTGTGTCATTGACAGAGACTGAAAAAGGATGTCTTTCCTCAAATTGTTCACCTTACCTTTTATGGGATCTAGAATTATACACTATAATAACTTAGATAGTTACCTCATCTATTTAAAAAAAAAATCTACTTTTAAAGTCTAACATCCCTGGATGGATGACTTAGTAGGTATTACATTATATTTTAACTTGAAATTACATTATTACGTTATTATTATTACATATATTAATTAGCTGACAGTGATATTGGTCTTTCTCTATTCCATCAATGGGATATCCCTTCCTTTAAGTCCACCTCTGTGTTTTCCAGTGGGAGCTGCTGGGCAGAGGACTCTTTCCCCACTGTATTTTCCCTCTACTCTGCCACCCAGTGGTGGATGCATTCTTATCCATCCATCATTCCCCAGCCTTGGCCACACAGGGACACCCAGGGATGGGTACCCAACTCAAGCCAGTTAGCATTCTTTTGGGCATTTTCCTAACTAGAACTGCTATCGAAATGTTCGAATTCTTCTTATCAGAGGTGGTAAGTGCAGATCATTGCTGCTCATAGTCAGGTTTCTATCCTCTGCTAACATCTAAAGAGAAGACTCAATGCAGGAAGGAGCGGAGACGAACAGTAAAGAATGTTCTTAGGGCACCGGAGACTCCACTTCATTAGCTGATAGTACTCTCTTTCTTGATTTGTTTCCAAGAATCACAAATCATCCTGTCACCTTAAGATCTCATGCCTGGGGCATCTGCCATTTGGTCTGAGAACTCCAAACAAATATTTTACAAAAACAACCCAAGAAAACAGAGGAAGACATAGTATTGCTAAGTTTTAAAAGTGTGTGCATGTGTGTGTGTGTGTGTGTGTGTGTGTGTGTGTGCATGAGAGAGAGAGAACTGTGCTGTGGTTACATATAAGCCATTGTGTAGTAATGCTCCTGGACGTCATTTCACACAATAACTGTTGATTTAAATAGGGGTAGAAAGGTGGCTCAGAGGTTAAGAGCACTTACTGGTCTTGCAGCAGATCTATGTTTGGCCAGGTTCGGTTCCCAGCACCCACATGATAGCTCACAACAGCTTGAAACTCCGGTTCCAGGGGATCAGGCATCTTCCGGCTCCTGCAAATGCATGGTACATACACTCACAGCGGGTCACAGACATACACGTAAATAAATAAACAAACAAACAAACAAAGAAATAGTGACAGTCCAGTGGTTCAGTTTTCTCACCAAAGAAGAAAAGCAACTTGTATGTTCACAATAGGCCTAAAATTTTATTTATATATTTTTATCAGTGTATCAGATAAAAAGGCATTTTATTATTTTCTTCCCTTCCCTGCAATATTAGTTAAATTGTGGCATATTAGAATATCTAAGAGGTACTTACTTCAGAAGCATGGAAAACTGGAACCATGGAGGGAAGGTTAGCATGGCCCTCACCCAAGGGTGTTATGCAAATTCATGGAGCATCCACGCTCTAAAAAATTTGTTTGACAATGTCATGATATCTAATAACTTATGTGCTAATTAAAAACAAATAATTAGAAATAGAGTATCCAAGTACCCAATCTATTATTAAAGAGCTCAAAATACCATTTTGGCCCAAATGGAAAGAACTGGAATTAGACAGGCTGCAGTAATACTTTTGCAGTAGATTTACAAGGCAGCTTAGAAATGGAAAGTTTTTGTCAAGTGAATTGGAAATGGTCCTCCAGTGTTTTGGGCTGACTGCTGGCTTCTTCTGTGTGACCACTGGAACTCTGGGATATTGCCTCATGTAATTACCTCTAAGTTAACAAAATTCTCTAATGGATCCTCTGAGGATTTATGTTGGTCAAAAGGCAATTTTAAAACATTCTTTCTACATTGTTTTAATGAAAAGAAAACAGACATCTTTCTGTGTATTTCAAGGAGACAATATGATGTGCCAGTTGCATTCTGGGAAAATGTTATTCGGAACTGAGCATGAAAACCAGCTAGATGGTAGATTAAAAATACCTTTCTCCCCAGCATTTGGGAGGCAGAGGCACCAGGGTCTCTGGGGTCAAAGCCAGTCCGGTGTGAAGGGTAACTTCCAGGACAAACTCTGTCTTGAAAACCAAAACAAAACCAAAACCCCCCGAACTTTCCCATGTAGTCAGGACGCTGGGAGTGTCTCCTTTCTGAGGCCTCCACATCACCCACTTCTTCCTCCTCCATTTGTTCCCAAGTTGCTTCTCTTTTTCCAGCATTACTTATGAGTAAGAAAGGAAGCCAGGGTAAGAACAATGGCATGTTCCTGGCTCTGCAGGGAGAGCACACATCAAATAATGGCCTTTGCCCTTGGGAACCAGAACTTAACCTGAGATCGCTGGGCAGAAACGAGCCGCTGTATACCGAGGAGAAAGTGTCCTTGGTCTATCAAAGCTGGGAGGTGCACCTGCTTTAGTAAGCTGCTGACTAGGTGCTACCTGACCACGATTGCTTGCTCCTGTGTAACTTGGGTTGAGCTAACCACCATCTGTGAGCTTCTGTTATTTCAGCTGAGTCTGTCTATATGCTTATCCTGCAGATATCCTGAGAGGCATAGTCAGAATTTTTAGTAAACTGCCTAGCACAGACTATTGGATACTAACTGGAATTATTGTTAATGAGAACTTGGTGGTGGAGTGTTTAGCTTTGTCCTCTCCTGTGTCCTTAGAGTTTCTTGGTAGCAGAAGTCATTTATAGTTTTCCTAAATCAGTGGAAAGCCGGACACGGTAGCCTGTGCCTGCAATCACGGCGTCTGAAGGTTGATGAGAGAGGGCTGAAAGTTCAAAGCCAACTTGGGCTATGTAGGGAGATTCTCCCCATCTCAAACACCACCACTACCACAAAACCCTTTAAAAACTGAGGTACTGAGTGCTGAGCCTCACCACCTACATAAAAGAGTGGGGCAAGTGGCATATGTCTGTAAGCCCTCGAGCTTGCTGGCCAGCCAGTGCAGCTGAAAGAGTGACTCCAGCTTCAGTGAGAGGCCCTGTCTCAAACAAAACAAACAAAAACAAGGAGAGGAGTGATAGAGGAAAGCTTCTAAAATATCAACCTTTGGCGGCCTTCGCATGCCCCTCTGCACAAACACATGCCCCCACACCTGCACAGCTATTAAGATCGCTCTTAATATTTCTTCCTCAAGTAGCATTCGCTCTTGCTTCCTGCTCTATTTCTCTACTGGCAAAAAAGAACTTTCCTTGTGCCTGTCTTGGCCCTACTGGCACACATTTCTTGACTTTACTCTAGAGCCCCAGGCCTTGACCTTCTGTTTATGCTCCGCCCTCTTCCCCTCATTGCCACCCAGCTTATCCAGTAACATTTCTCAGTGGCATCTCAGCCCCAACTCTCCGCAGACAGACACATCCCCTCCACAATTGCTTCTTCATTATCTCCCTGTCAAAAGGTCAAAGCAAATCTAGCCTGGGGTTCTTAAATCCTTTGCTGCCTCAACCTACGTGTTCGCTGACAGTCGGGTCAGGCCAGACTTACTGCTAGGCCAGAATGCTGCCAGGGACAGAATCTGTCATTTTATTCTGCTGCCAACCAATCTATCCACGTCACGTCACCCAGAATGAGGGGCCATTGTGCACCTGTCACATGGTGATACTGACCTCTAGGGAAAGGCTTTCCTTCACAGAGTGTCTTTATCTTCTCATTGAGTTCCAGGACAGTGATGGCAGCCTCTTGCTTAGCTATTGCCAAATCAGTTTGTAGCTTTTTCACTGTCTTTTTGTGCTTTAGTTTCTTAAAAAAATAAGAATTTCCTGTCACTGGAGACGGCAGATGAATCAAAGGAATAAAAGGAATTAATGGTGTCTGGGCAAACATTGCTTCTGAAGCCCTGCTTAGCGAAAACACTCCATTCATCTAAGCTCACTGTCTGCATCATCAGCTCTTTTCACTCACTTGAAGCAGGGTTTGGGGGCAGGGAGGGAGGTTCATCTGGATCTGAAACCTGTGGTTCCGGTAATTTGAATAGAGTCAATTAGAAAAACTCTACGTGTCATTTAGCATTTACTACCAGGAAGCTAATGCCTTCAGGAACCAGGTTTCTACCCTAACCTGTAAGCAGATTCCTGAGAGAAAACTAGAGCCTTGACCAGGAGTCCTGTCTCCCCTGGCATTTGAATTTTATCCATATTCAAATAAACTCTGGAATGCGTGCTGCTACTAGGAAGTGCAGAAATGTAGATGTTTGCAGATACTTTTTGTGGCGTTGTAGAGAAAACGTGGTCAGGTTGCAGCATCGCTGGGAATTCTATTGGGTGGTATTTACATAACGAAGGAAGGCTTCACCTTGAGCTTGATGGATTTCAAAGTGGATTTGATTTGTCAGAACTGGACTCATGTGCAGCGTTGGAGCCATTGTTTGTTAGGACAAGTGCTCCTTTCGCACATTCGTGTTGCTTTTGGGTAGCTGCCTTTCCACCAGAGAGCTCTTCTTGCCAAGTCTTTGTGGCTGATAATTAAGAAGCCCAGAAAACGAACAAATAACATTGCTTGACAGACACAAATCTTGAGATGGGGAAAGGAATGCTCACTATGAAAGAACCTAATCTTCCCTGGCCTCTGAAGGGGGTGCAGCCAGGCTGCAGGGAGTAAGAGCCAATGAAATCAATTAGTTAAACATGGGCTGAGAGACACAGCTTTTGGGTTCTAAAGATGGGTGATGGTGCTAGGCATGTAGCTAAGGGGGAAAACATATGTCTGAAAGCAAGGCTTTCATCACCAGAATGGAAAGGCAAAATCAAAAGCAGATTGATTGTGAAGCCTGGCACGGAAACCCGTGCCTATAACCCCAGCAATCCTGGGGAGTGAAGGCAAGAGTATCAGGTCAAGGTTATTCTCTGCTAAATATCAGAGATCAAAGCTAGGTTGGTCTACAGGAGGCCCTAGCTTGAGAAATAAAAACAGCGATGGACTGTTTTTCAGATTTAACACAGAATGATAAGGATGTCATAAAATCTTAATTAATGGCATAAGGATGGCTAAAAGCAAAAGAACAATTCACAGGAAGAACAGCAAAGGAGCCTTTCTCCAGGGAGTCAGAGAGCCTGGCACAAGGCAGGTTTACCCTTGGCAGTCCAGAGCTCAGGTACCCTGACTTCTAAGCATCTTTCCTCATTTCATTATGACACATCCCCTGATTATCAGGAACTGTGCATTGGATTGCCTCAATGCTGAAATCAAGACCAGTAAAACCTTTTACTTTCTTCCCTCCTCATGATTGTCTACTCACTAAAACCATTTATGGTTCTCCTTGAGAAACAGAAGTTCTGGAAGAGGTTGAGCTGATCAGGGAGTGTGTCAGGAAACATGCTCATAGTCAGTGGTTAACTTGTCAGGCTGATCTGTGTCTCCTCCACTCAGGAGCTGGCTTCAGTCAGTTTGTTCGTAAAGACCTTGTCCACCCCAGACCCACAGGCAAGTGGGTAGTTTCTGGGAGGCACTAGGCCCCTGTTGACTTTTCTTGCTGCATTTTCAAGAGTATTCTACTCTCAGATTTTTTTTAACCATGCCTTTATGACTTAGAACTTTGAAGACAGACTACTGACATGAACATTGAAAAAGTGGAGATGATGAGGAGATGCTTAACAAGAGGGGAAAAGAAGGGAGAATGAACTATAAGCAGAAAAAGAACTAACAATGAAATGCATGGCAAAGCACTGAGGATTAGAGGTGGTGATGGAAGCAAGTTATACCAACACACACACAAATGTAGAGTGAGCGACTAACTGGTGGAGAAGCAGACATGAGACACATTGAGGGGCGGAGCCTTGTTAGGAGGCGGTGATCACTGTGACAAGGTTCTTGTGGCTCTCTATGCTTGGGCTTAAACAATACTGACGCATGCAGAATTGGAGATTTACTTTCCTCATGTTTCTTTTTTTAAAACTACCCCCCCCCCTTTTTTTTTGAAACAGGGCCTTTTGGTGTATCCCAGGATGGCTTCAAAGCTGAGATCTTACTTCTTTATAGATATGTAAACATTTTATTAATTATTAATACTCTGCATTCACTTTCCAATTATTTGTAAGAAGACAAGTTTTTGTTTTAGAAGCCTTCCTTAAAGTAGACATTGATCAGAGCTAAACAAAATAAATAAAGGCAGCCTGGTGAGAGCTGTATACGGTAAGCTACTTAACATGAGCTTATACATGAACTATCACCATGAGCTGGCATGATATTCATTAGAAAAAGTCACATTGGTGTTTTGATAAGACAACAGAATGCAGGAACCTGAGGTTTAGACATAGTGCGTCTTAATATCAGCTAAGACTGTCAACCTTTCACCTTTTTTATTTTATTTCTATTTCTTGGTGTTTGCATTTAGATCCTTGCATACACTAAGAATGTGTCCACCTCTAAACTATTCCAAACCCCTCACCTATTCATTTTAAGATATTTTACTTTAAAAAAATATGATTTCAAGACTGTATTGTTCTTCTCTTATAGCCATTATGTGTCAACCTTTTCTTCTTATAACATTTGTCTGCTTGCCTTATGACCTAATAGGGAAATTGAGGCTGTTTTGTTTGGGGGGAAAAAAAACTGTATCCGAGGGCAATCAGGACAGTTGACTCCAGTTATCTAAGGGACTATTCAAGGGGAGAGGAAGTTGAGTCAAACTGTGTTGTTCTAGAGATACCATGAAGAACAATGGGGAGAAAACATGACGAGGCAGGTTTTGGCAGGACATGAGAAAACACTCCCCAACAATCAGAGCTGCGTCCACACACAATAAGGTAGGATGGGTCCTGGCGAGGATATGCCACTCTGGGAATGATCAAGCAGAGACAAGTGAACATCTCCAGGCAGGCCCATGGTAACTCTGGAAGCTAGGTCAAGAGGTAATTCTGAGTTTGGTTCACTGTCCCCGCCCCCTGCGGCCCCAGTTCTTTCCACCTCTGGCTCCTCCCACTCACAGTAAGAATAAGAAGAGGCCAGTTTCTGAAGCCTGAAGGGCTGTTAGAGCCACAAGGGACATTTTAAAGAGGGTTCTGGCATTTGTGAGCAGCTGGGTTAGAAGGCCTGTGCTTCCTTCAGAGTTTATGGATGATGTGACTCAAAACATTATTTTTGTTATTTAGCTACAGGAAAAAGGTTAGGGGCAATTAAATTTACGTTAAAAACTGAGCAAAAAGATATAGATTGGTTGTCCAAGGTTTCTGTTGGAAACTTTTAGTTGTTTAAACGCCCTTTAGAATAGTTTAACATCTTTGCCTTTTCCCCTCCTTCTCCAGACAGAACTACCATGGTATTACTAATTCATAGCTTTAACCGAGCCCTTTGGGCAGTTCGAAGAATTCAATTTGCCGATGTATTTTTATTAGGCAGGAACATCAAATGATTTCAACAATGATAATATTTTCCCTTGCTTTTCTTGGCAATCACTAGCCAGGCAACCCAAGTTTTGTGCTTGAATCTCCTGGAGTCTGTTATGGCCTTCCTAGTAACCAGGGACTCTTTTTAGTCATTACTGAAAGGATAGGAAAGCTTGTATTGCTTGGAGCTAAATTCCTATCACTTTGCCGCTTTCCTATTTCTCCCAAAGGGTGGAAAAAGAGAGGAAATCATGTATTTGTTCAATGTTTTGAAAAGGAAATATTTATCTGTGTCATATTGCTGAATGGCTTGCATTATAACAAGTCAAGAAATAGCCAGGGAGCTATTTATAGAGGAGTTTCAGCACAGAGCTGTTGGTGATATTTTAAATTTCTGGGTATTTCCATGTACTTTGAATCATGGCCTTGCACTATGCAGCTGGGCCTTGTCACTTAATGGTCATGAGAAACTGGGCCAGCTACATGTCATCGACAAGCTCCATCCTGCTCTGGTAATCAAATGACATAATGGACAGATACGCATCTGTGTTTGCAGTAATGTCTGTGGTTATCGCTATCCCTTGAAACATATAGGACACATTTTAACCCTTCTCTCATGTATGAACACATCTCTTAAAAACATGTCTCTTTCACTCTTTGTAAGAAGTGAATCTGTACTTATTTGAAAGCAAGACTTTCCTTTTGATAATTTTCTGCACGATTGCTTTGATTTCATATTCACTTGATATAGGTAAATAAAATTTAAAGTAAATGACCTCCAGACACGTGAATAACTTGGTGCTCTCTTCAGCCAGCACTGACCTGATGCCTAGGTGAAGCAAGGGGATGCCTGCGGGGATGGAATGAGTTGAGGAGTGTTCCGAGGCTCCCGTCCATACCTCCAGGCAACATTCTTGCCTCCACAATGACAAGTATTTCCCCCAGTCTGAAATCTACCTGGCTCATCCCATTTTCATTTCTTATATCACAAAGATGAAAATCTTTTCTACTGATAGCCACTAATAAAATGTTCACTACCAAGTATGTAGGACAGTGTCAAATGAACTTGAATACCAACTGCAGAGTTAAATTTCTCCTTTCATTCCTTTTCCAGTTAATAATGAAAATGGTAAGAGTGCCGTAGTGTTTGGGTAGAACTTGGATTAGAAATCACCTGCATATCTTCTCTTGTGTCTTTATTCATCACAGCCCAAGGAGACCATTTTATAGTCTAAGGATAGCAACTATGTGATGTGAACTGTATATGTTCTTTCCAAAACACGCAAACCATAGTTAGAGATTTCTCCATGATGCATTGTAAACATGCCATTCATCCCGTAACCCACATTCCCACTGCATACTGGTGAAACCTAATTGTTGTTCAAATTGTGTCTC